TGATCTTGGCTAACTCTTTCTATATCCGATAGTCTTATGCTTTTTCCAATAGATCTTATCTTGATTGGTAGACTCTATCTGGAGTAAAAAAGAATATTCTTCGATCGTTGGGACCAAGTCTTCTTAGTTGAATACAAAAATCGATAAGATGGATCCCAAAATTGTATTGCGACTTTCATCAATTGTTCATCAACCTTCACTGATATAAGTAGTGCCACATCTTCGTATTTCTTAGAAAAGGTTTTTTTCTCTCTATTCTTCACTGTTTCCAAATGATTTCTAATTTTGATATATTATTCTAACTGAGATCCATATGCACTGACTGTGGTAGCATCGATATGTGACCATCTACTAAGCAATCTCCTTATTTCCTTTAAAAACTTTCTGAATGGCACTTGACCTCTAAGTAGCTCTTACACACAGACGACATCCTTTTAGGTTTTCTGAAAGTTTTTCTTGCTGAAGATTGGTCCAAAATAACCCTTTAGAAATATGGTACCTATATGATGTATGCAACAAAATCGAAGACAACAAAACAAATCAATAATGTAAATAAAACAAATAAATAAAAATGAATAAATGAATGAAAAGTATAACATACCTCATAACATAATATACATAGTGTCTTAATTTAGGTAATTTTCTCGTAAAAAGGACAGTATGGCTCTATCCTAAAGTTGGACCTTACGGCTCACTATATGCCAGGTTAAGATTTATGTGTCTAAAGGTTCCCAGACTATTCCTCACACCATCGTCTATTATAGGCTAGTAAGGCTCCCCGATCCTCACCCATTACAGGCTACTAACGGAATGGGTTCAATCTAAGTGAAAATGTTTCACTAGCAAATACGGAAGTTATTACCTCACGAGAACGTAGCTACTTCACTTCCTCTTAAAAGGGATATAGCCCGGGTCCAAAGCTCATACATGAATATGCAAAGTGTGTGCAAAATAATGTATTAATCAAAATACCATAAATACAAAATTAAAATAAAATAACAACTAACATACAATTTAGCTTATTCATTAACATATATATTTTTGAAAAATCAAAATAAAAGAGATTAAATGAAATGTCAAATAAGACCAATTAAATCCAATAATTCTTAATAGCACATAATTAAAAGTTTTGGCTTGACTCTCGAATTTTTTTCCTAGTGGAGTCATCAAGCTGTCGTAACGATTTTGGGACTGCTAGACGTAAATGAATTTTAAAACGAAATAAATGAGGGGAGTCGTCACCAATCTTTGTTAGGGTGTGATTGACCACCCAAAAGTTTATCCTTTTAATAAAACTATAAAAACGGGTTTAAAGTTTATCAAAAAGATAAATTTTGATCTACGAAAAATCAGGTTGGATCCGAGAGTCGGTTACGTGTGAGGAAGGATTAGCAACCCCACAACGCCCATAAATTGGTACCATTTATTACATGTTATTTTTTATGTTGGATAAAAATAGTTTTAATTTGAAATTTAACACTAATTCCCTTCATTTGAAAAAATAAAATTTTGCTAAAAATTTTTATTTGGAAATATTGAAAAAATCTTTAAGTTAAAGAATTATCTTAAAATTCTTTAACATCTAGGCAGAATTTAAAATAACTCTTTTCACTTAAGATTTAACACAATAATTCTTGAAATGAAATAACAATCTTTATAGAAAATAATTGTTAATGACTCTAAAACATCTAGGCAGAGTACCAAGAATTATTTCTTTCGGAATGTTATTTTTATTTTATTTTATAATATCACAAAAAAAATTTTAAAAGTATTATTCTTTTTTATTATAAAATATTTTATCATCAAACAGTAAATTAAAGAGAATAATGCAGACAATTGTCGATGATAACATGCTAACGTATGTATGCCAATGAATGTTATGTAGGATGAGATGCAATTTTAAAGTTGGATTCTTAAGTATAATGAGACCATCACGACTCTTCAACATCTAGGCAAAGCTTAGGGGCCACTGTTTTATATTTAAGATCTCAATTTACTGTTATACTTTTTATTTATTAATCTTATTATTAATGTAAATTAAGAACTCATGTGAAAAACTTAATGAAATGGAGTTTCCTAAATACCACATCATTTGGGCAGCATTTAGGAACAAACCATTTCATGTGAGATTTTCACACGTATCCTTAAAGTTTAGAAAAAATTTTAGGGTAAAAGTTTAGGGTTTAAGTTTAGGGTTTGGGAGTTTAGTTAAAACGCGAACATCTCTAAAAATTTCCATCATTTAGGCAGACTTTCGAAACAAGTTCAATTTTTTTTATAATAATTTAAAAAAAATTAATTTAAGAAACATAATAATTTTTTTAATTAAAATTTTTTATTATTTTAAAATGTTTTTTTGTTTAAAATCCTTTTTAATGAAAACTTATCAAAATTATTAACTTATTTAGTAATTTTTTTTATAATAATAATTCTCCAACATCTAGGCAAAATTATTTTTTTAAAAAAATATTTTTTTATTCCCTTCAACATCTAGGTAGGAAAAATAAAAAGATTATTCCATTATTATTATTATTTAAATATTTTTTAGTTATTATCCTATATTGTTTTCATTTTATTATTATTAAAAAAAATTAGATATTTATCCTAATAAATTTAAACATTTATCATACATAAATATGAAAACTTAAAATAACAAAAATAATAGTATAAAAAAATTAAAAAATTTTTTTACCTGAATCGGACCGATCAACGATCCGATCAACGCTGGTCTGGGTCGATCTGATCGGTTCGACGGTTCAATCAACGGTTCGACAATCCAACGGTTCGGATCGATTTACTGCTGGTTCGTTTGAACTGGTTCAAGGCTGGCTGAAGCGGACCGTCGGGTTGGGTTACACGGATCTCAAGTCGGGTTCGATTCACGCGCGGATCCTATATGCTTGAAACAGCATCGTTTTGGTCATATGCTCAAAACGATGTCATTTTACCCTTATGTTTTTTATAAAAATCAAAATTTTTTCTTCAGTTCATTTCATTTCACAGAAAAAAAAGGCTTTGGGGGTTCTCTGGCTTCCGCCAGAATCCGATGCCGTGCACTGCGTCGGCCGCTGTGTGGGTCCCCACCGACGATGGTCATCGATGATCGAAAAAGGGTCAAAAAGTCACCAAAAATTCCTCTCAACGCCCTCTTTCTGAATCCGACCTTCGCTTAGCCTGAAAGAGCCTTGATAGTCGCAATCGATCTTCGAAGTTTCTGATCTCCCCTCTTTTTCTTTTTTTTTATTTTTTTTCGGACGACTTAAACTGATAATTTCTCCTTCTTGTTTCAAGCGGTTGTGGCGCTGAGGTTCCTACCTGCGGGGAGGATTGCATTTTTTTTTTGTGTAGATCTATTTCGTTTTTCTGTTTGGGGTATTTAGGGGGGTTGTTTCAAATTTTGAGTTTTTGATATGTGGGAATGGGGGTTCTGTCTAGCATTGTTAAGAGTGTTTTGAGGGGGGTAGTTCGTCTAAGCTCGAGGTTTTTCGTGGAGGTAGATTGAATAGGTTTTTTTTTTTTTTTTTTTTTTCAAAGAGTGTAGAGAGTCTGAAAAGGAAGGATTGGAGATTTTAAAAAGCTTCAAATAAGGGGATCTGAGTGCCTGTAAGGTGGTTATAAATGGGCTGAACAGGGAGTTGGTCAGGGGGCTAATCGAGGGCTGGACAGAGGCAATAGCGACGTCATACCAGCCCCTAATTTCTGTCTCATTTTCTCTTCTTCTTTTTTTTTAATTATTATATATATTTTAAATATTTTATTATTATTATTATTATTATTATTATTAAACTAAAATAAAAACAGTAGACCCGGACAAAATCGGTGTCTACAATGTTCATAAGATTTATAGCACACAATTTTTTTTCTAAATCTTAAATCCAATTTTCTTTTTTTTCTTTTTTTTTCAAATTCAAGTTCTGAAATGTAAATTTTGATTTTGTAATTTATTATTAGTATTCGTAATTTAAAAATAACTACCCACGAACACTTCCAGTTAATAATTGAATTACCTGAAAGAGTAAGAGACTTTTTTTTATCTCACACCTGAAGTGCGAGCTCAACCAGTGCTCCTTGTCTTTGTCCAATCCCTTGCCGCCTCTAATACTTTGGAAATCATAAAAAGATAAATATTTAAATAAGTAATAAAAATAAATCAGCAAAAATATAGACATCTAAAAGTTTAAATCTTTCAATTTTGTGAATTTGATAAATTTTAAATACGTTTGTGATCGATATAATATAATATGTTGGTAGATACAGACGTGGCAATTAGACGGTAAATCAAAATCAGTTGCACCGTTTTAAGTTTGTTTAGCTTCAATTTGGAATTATTTTAGGGTTCAAATCCGCTCTTTTTTCTAGATGTGAGTGACCAATAGAATTGGTTTTGCATTCTGCTTACGGATTACGAAGAGGCTTCGAGATTCCACCTTGGATCACTTAAATTCTTTGTCAGCGTTGGATTATGTTTAATTTGGCAAGAAACAGAAGAAAAGAGTCTATTTGGAACGAAAAAATTAGTCGCTAATAGTTCTTTATTGTTGGAATAAAAATTCTGATGCTAAAAGTTTGTTGGAAAACTCGAAGTTAGATTGCCTTTGTCACTAATACTAAATTACATTAGCGGCGAAAATTTTCCATTGCTAAAAATATATATTTTAAAAATTTCCATCACTAAATTATAATTTTACTAAAAATATATTTTTTAAAATATTTACAATTGACATTTATTAAAATTTCATTTGATCAATCAAAAACATAGAATATATTTACTTTTAAAATATCAATAAAAAATATCTAATCACATAATCTAACCTCAAATCATATGCAATAAAAATTTCAAATATATATAGAACAAAAGCCATATTCTGTTTACACATGTTTAAACAAAGAAAACAAGAAAAGAAAGTGGGATTCACAAAGAAATTGAAAAAAAAAAATTTGACAAATACTAACTAGTGGAGGACAGAATAATAACTAAAAGAATTCTTATAACATAATTGAAAAGGCATGAGAATAACATGACAAGAAAATGTGCATCCATAAAAATTACACTAAACTGGTATATCTAAAAAACTATGAAACCATATGAAATTCATCACATCTTCCATTGATCAAATAACATACCAACCTGACAAGATAATTCAAATAACATACCTTTACTGCAGCTTCCATTGATCCAAATTTGCACCAAATGAGCAATCTGGAAGCCACTCATTCAATTTCATCACTTATTGTCATAGAAAGGAAATAACAACTCAACACAGAACTACTTTCAGTTGTAAGAGCAGCTTTTGTTCAACTAAGGGGAATGTATCTGCAACAGAAAGATTATACCTATCAGAACAACTACAAAATAGACAACGTTTTTCACAGAATCACATGTTTGAAACACACACAAGTTATCAGCACCAGATAAAAGGAACAAACGATTAAAAATGCATGTTATTGCCTCAGTTAATAATTATGAAGCTTTAAACTGATATCAAACCATGAAGCAAAAATTAAAACAAGAAAATTGAACAGAGACAAAACTCAAACCAGATTTTACCAAAGTGTTTACTTGACTGAAATTGGATACTAAAGTATTATTCTCAAAAACCTTTATTCAAGAACTTAAGCAAATAGGAAACTAACTGAACCATGTGTATATATTTAGGTCATATTTGGTGCATAAGATGATGGATAGAATAGGATAATAATCATCCTATTTTTTATTTGGTTTGTATCTAAAGAAAATGATAAGATTACAGGGAGGATTAATCATTCTCTTGGTATAAGATGATTCAATCCCTCCCAAAGTGAAGAGGATCATTTTTAATCCATGGGATTGAACTTATATATCCTATTATACCCTTAAAAATTACATTAATAATTTAAATTGTATAGACTTTGAGGAAGGATAATTTTGACCAATAAATAAATTATCCTATCCTAATCCTTGTACACATCAAAACACATGATAAGATGACATTATTTAACAAAATTAAAGTTATTAACTATTGCATATAAGCAAAATAATCAACAAAATCAAGAGTTACCATTGCAACAACAGGATCTACAAACTCACTATAATCAACATTAGAATAGAGCTAAGCATAAATTTAAGAAAAACAAAAAGTTTAGCTTTGTAAAAATGCATACTGATATAAGCACGATATGGTGAATGCTAGAAGAAAGCCCATGTAACTTAGCATAGTACGAAACAGATTAACTACAGGTCCATCTATAGGCTTTTGCTTAAATTAAAAAAGCAAATGTCACACACACATCTTTATGCTTTATTATCCACTCAAGTTCATTAATTTTTTTACCAACCTAACAAAAGAAAAGATATTAAGCCATACAAGGGGAAAGGAGGCAAAACCATTCCGAACAAATACTGTTGAAATCTTATAAAGAAGTATGGTAGGGCAAAAAGATACAACAGAAAAGCACAAAATTTTAAGATATAATAACTCTCTTGAATGGAGGGTACCTTCCCAAATCTAGTGTAGCATTTGCAGCAGTAGAAACCATATCTATGAGCACATGGTGTACCTATTTGGTACATAATAGAACCCTCACAGTTATCAATATAGAAAATGACATGGTAAAGCGTACATCAACTAATAAATGAGTGACGAGGGCAATTCTTTAAGCTATAATCATTCAAATTAAAATAATTTATAATACTTCTTCTTGAGGTGGACCATAGTCAAATAACTATCACTAATGAAGAGAATTCAATCCATAAGAAAAATTAGATCAACTATAGAACTGAAGACCAACAGTACAACTGCATACTTATGCACCAACATTAAACATTTTACGATTTAGAAATAGAACAAAACTGCTAAAAAGAATTAAGTCAGACACCAAAAGAGCAGGCATGTCATGTCCCTAATAATGCTACAAACTGCAATTAAGATTAAAATATAAACAGATTCAAGAATTAAGCAACTGAATCTAACAGTTTGAAGTTTCGATTCAAAACTTTTAGAAAAAAATAAATAAAATAAATAAAAATTAACAATATTTGAATTCTGACTGCCTAAAAAGGTTCAAAGGTATGTGGCTCAACTCATCTAATTTCCATAAGCGCCATAAATAGATGGCAATAGGCATACACCAGAAATTGCCAATAGGCGTCATGCAGCATAAGGTTGGAGATAATAAAATAGCATAATGAAGGCATAGCTCCAATACCTCATCATAAACAACCAAAGAAAGTGCCAGCTTTGTATTCACCAAATATAATGATGAAATCAAAACACAGAATGGGAGAGGGATTCAACAACAACAACAATAACAAAAATAATAACAGATTTAAAAAAAAAAAATTAAGGCGTATCCTTACATAAAAAACACAAAGGAATTTAAACAGTTAAACCATTTACCATAGTATTTGATTCTCTAATAACCCAAAATTGAGAAGTAAAGAGAAAAACAATTAGACGTCAAAAATTTTCTACGCTCATTTTCATTTACTAAAGGCAATCCAGTCACGATCTTAACCCCAATCTGTGAGCTCTTGGGCTTTATCTCAGGTGGCTCCACTCTTCATTTTGAAAACATTCAAAAGAAAACACCAAATGGCAGACTCAGTTGTACAAATCAAACCTAAAAAATTTTCGAAGTATGGGCCATTAACATTCTCACATCTGTGAGTTTCAAAATAATTAAGGGGAGGGGGAAGGTTTAGGGTTGAAGTAAGAAAAAAAACTCACGGATGGTTATGCAAATCTTCTGCATGAGCAAGAGTACGGGGAGGGTCGCGCCGAAGGCGAGTGGGAGGGATTAAAGCAGGAGGAAGTGGAAGAGGTGTTCTGGGCCACAGGAGGGCTCGAATAGATTTAAAGCAGATCGTTGGGCGAAGAGGGAAGGGCTGGATCTGGGTGGTTGCCGGAGGGGGGAGGGTGTCGGGCGAAGGGAGGAACGGCCGGAGCTGGGGCAGCTCCGGAGCTTGGCAATCGAGCGAGAGTTGGGGCAAGGGGTCTGGGAAAGGGAAGATATTGTCCCACACGGGCTAGCTAAAGAAGATTTAATCTAACTACCAATTATCGCTACACTCACTTAAAAGTTGATTTAATCAAAAGGTATGTATAATATAGTAGCTAAAATGAATTGAATCAAACTTAATATGATTCAAAATGTAATTCAAAATGTAAATCTAATCTAAGAATAAAAAATAACAAGATTAATTAACAAGTAAAACGGCAGCTTGAATGTACAAACCAAGATAATTAGCTATAACCGAAAACTAATTACCTCAACTTACTTCTAACTTCCAATAAAAAAACATCTAAAAATTTCTTAAAACTTGATCTAAACAAATCAGAAATTTACAAAAACAAAATGTAAATGAAGATCAAAATAGATTTAAATTAGAATTAAAGAAGTAAAATTGAAAATCCAAGTAGAACAAGCAAAACCGAAATTCAAGTGCAAAACTAAAACAATCAATTATGTAACAAGAAATTTAGAACTAAGCTACTACAAATTGAATAAACTTGAACTATGAATTGCAAAAACAGTGAATGATCTAACGTAAAAACAAAATTAAATACAAGCAATGAAAAGAAATTCCAAGATCTAATTAAAAAGTTGAAAACTAAAATTGATTTTGAATTTTGGAAATTATCAATTTTTAGAAGAAAATTTAGATCCACAACTCTCTAGATAGAATGAACTCAAATCGAACTAAGACAACAGAGATCTACAAGTGTACTACCAAGTTCAACAAAAAAATAGCATGAATCAATAAAAAACTGAACTCATTGAACTCAATTACAAACCGAGTGCAAAATAGCAAAAATAGAATAGTTACAAGAAAATTTAGCCAAATAGAATTGAGATGCATGAATTTAAATGCAATCAAATGAAATTTAGCAAGTAAACAGATGAATTAAAGAGTGCAAAGTAAGGAAATAACAAACCAGATGCCCAGCTAGGAGAGAAGTCACTTGAAGTGCTATCACTCACTCAAGCTCTAGCACACCTTCTAGATTCAACTGAAACTTTAAAGATTTTTCTAAAACTATGTAGACTGAATTTACATGTGATTTTTATCAAATTCGTAGAACAATAAATCAAGAATCCACAAAAAAAAAATTTGTATTGAAGCCCCTAAGAATTGATGGAGTTCTAATGGAAAAACTACAACTAGGTTAGAAATGTGATTTTCCAAACAGATTTGAGATTCAAGTGAAAATGCATCAAGTTGAACTTGAAATCTTAAAGAACATGAACTTTTATTGAAAGATTCTTAAAGTGCATTGAAAATAGAGGCAAGGAAAGTAAATTTTGATAGAAAATAAAGGCAAGTTTCTTCCAAACAACCCTCTAAATGAATAATGAGGAAACTATTTGGAAAGAAAAGAAAGTAAATTACAAGAAAAGAAAAATCTAGAAAAAATGGAAAAAAATCTCTAAAAAGTCTCTCAATTCTCGACCACTCTCTTTATTTTTAGGCAAATGTAAAATGGTTCAACCAATCAAAATGCAAGAAAAAGCCATCTTAGTTGCCATATCTTCTAGATTATTTTAACTAATCTAACTTGCTTCCTTAGCTTCCTTGTGTGCTTCTCGTTACTTCACTTTACTTCAAGCTTTCTTCCTTTGATCTTATGAATTCTGAAAAGTGAAAATTATGTCCAATGAAAAGCCTTCAAATTGCCAACTAAGTAGCTACATTTGATCCCTCTTTGAATCCAAGAAATGGCACCAATCATCCTTAATGATCAACAAAGCATCAAACGATTTTGGTTGGATCTTTGCTTCCAATTTTAGGTGCCAAAATGCAAACAATTTCTCCTTCAAATTCCAGCCAAATGTATACCATTTAATTGCCAATTTATGCATGAAAAATTTTGAAAAAATCTAGAAAATTCTTAATTCCAAAGATAACTTTAAACCACACTAATGCATATTCCACCTTTCTAGCACATGCAAAAATATTACAAAAGTGGCAAAGTACTAGTAAGCTAAAAGGAAATTTTTCTCATGAAAAATATAAGGATTAAAGCTTGAAATAAAGTTTAATAAAGCTCAAATAAACTAAGGAAATCATAAAGGTAAAGAGTGAGAAAAACTCCCATAAGTGGCAATATAGCACAAACACATTAGTTTTGGCTTTTCATGGCTTTTTGCACCAAATTTCCTCCAAAATAAGTTCAAAAGCTTCAAGTTTCCTCATTTTTCATATTTTTCATCTACACATTGAATATTTATGCATTTAAGAGTATTTTTGTCAAATTTTCTTAAGAAACAAGCAAATATTTAAGAGAAATTGCACCAAAAACATATGATAAAATGCTAAAATTTTAGTGCAATAAAAAAAGTATACTCTTTTAGGGTGTCAAAAGTTGATCTTAAACTTGTTTCACTCTTACTTTGTTGTTATAAATACCAAAATCAAGTGGTCAAAGAGCCAAGCAATCAAAAGGAAAGTTTGAAATTCTGGTTCAACTAAAGCTCCAATAACAACTTTAGTTTCGATAACAACAATAAGGAGGTGGAAGTGGAAGAGTCTAATTCTAATATTGGAATTATAAATTCAAAATAGCAAGGGGTAAGAGATAATGAAATTAATGACTATGAGGATATGGCATTAAAAATCGGTGCTGGATCAAAATGAATATTGATAAATACGTTAATGATCATAGTAGTAGTGAAAGGTCCAATAAGAATGAACCAGGCTCAACCAAGAATGTTACGACAATTAAAGAGAATGGGAAATGGTTTGAGACAATAGCTATGAAAAAAAGTTCTAATGATAGAGGTAGGTAAGTGGGTTAGCTTCAAATGCAAGCCAAAATAATAAATTGGAATATACTTATTAGTAAGGAGTGAATCAGATGGACCTAAAAGAAATATGGGAACTAAGGCTACGTTAATGGAGTATATAAGCCTAATAGATGAGGGAGCTATTGAAAGTAATGAAAAGGCAGGCTTGGATCTAAATGTAAAAGAAACATATGGGCTTAGTCATTATATTAAACAATCATTTCTTGTGTTATTGAAACATAAGATATTCAAGTGGCTAAAAAAGATGGTGAGGCATAAATTAAGGTGAAAAAATGGTGATTTTACAAAGAGATAGAGAAGAAATTGATAGGTATAGTAAATAAGAAGAGAAAATCTATATATAAAAAAAAAAGTAGAATGAAAGCTATTGCAAACAATGGGTAAGTAGGTGAAGCATGGATTGCAAATGTGTCAATGTCAAATAGGGATTTTAGGAATCAAAATAGAGTGTTATCTAAAAAAAAATCAAGAAAAGTTATTCAAAAAAGCCAAAGCCATTTAAAATGTAGTTAATCAGCTATAGATCAATTCAATAGGGGACATGGGAAAGTTTAGCAAAAAACTAATGATGATGAAAGGTTCAGTGATACAAAGTTAGGCCTAATAAATGCATGACCAAGGTAACATTTATTTGTTTTTGTTTATATTTTAAAGGTAAGTTTACAAGTGGGTCTCAATACTTCTTTTAAATTATATTTTTAATGGGGTTTTGGTATTTAAAGAGTTTATTTGTGTTTTATGGTATTTCAGTGGAGGAAGCATAAATGATATATTATCGTTGAACATTTGAGGTATACTTGGAGGTAAGAAAGTCCGAACTATGAGGATGTTGATAAAGGGTTTTAATCTTAAAATGATTTTTTGTAGGAAATTAAATTGGTGTCCTATGATTTTTTATTTCTTAATAACAATTGGGCTTTGGGGAATCTTAAGTGGGCATTTAGTTTTACATAGGTAGATGTAGTGGTCATCTGATAATATAGGGAAGATTTCTTTTAATTAACTTTAAGTGGTGATCAAAGATAGATTCATTTTATTAATTGGGATGTTGACAAGAAACTCGTCCTTTTTTAGGATGTTGGCAAACAAATGCCCTGCTACAACAACTTTACCTTGTCTTGGTACACAATTAACAAAGTTGGTGTGTATTACACAATTAGCAAAGTTAGTGTGTATTGGCCTATTGGGGCTATGGGCTACCTATGTGGGGCATTCCACATAAAGGAAAGAGATGTTTGCTTGGTTGATTTATCTATTCCAACTTAAAAGAGACATGGAAGCTTAGGCAGCGTTGGGGTTGGGTTGATCTGGTATCATACTTGACTTGTTACAATCTTGGTGGTTTAAGTTTTTCTCAATGGTTGTTGTCTTATTGGGAATTTGGTTTTTGTTTAAATACTTTTTTAAAAATAAAGTTTAGAGTTCTTAGTGGTTGTTTTATTAGAATGGTGGTTTTTGTTCAAATGCATTTTTATAAGTAAAGTTCGAAATTATGGGTGGTTGTTTGATAAGATGTTGGTGGTTTTTAATTGTGATCTCTTTCATGTTTGTTTTAAGAGAAGATGCTTTAAGCCTTGGTGGCCTTTAAGGAATGATCTCTTGTTCTATGAAAAGTTTCTCTTTTCAATGATTTTTGGTAGAGTAAGAGTATATGTTTTTTCATTTTAACTTGGTCAATTTTATTGGATTGAAGTTTTAATATTGGTTTTGAGTTGTATTAGTAAGATAGTTAAGTTTTTAAGAAGTTTTATATAGCTGAAATAGAATTACTTTCCAACTTTTTGTTGCTTAATTATAACTAGCCTTGTTGCTAGTTATATTCTTTTTGAGTTTTTAATAAAATTGATTTTGGCTAAAAAAATAAAAAAACATAAAAGTCAAAATAGCATCTACCATGGAATAATATAAAATTAATCTAAAAATAAAATTGATAATTTTCTTAGTTGATAGCTATGTTCACTATTTTTTTTATTATTAATAATAATAATAATAATAGTGTAAGATTGAAATGGCTTATAATTAGGGATGGGAATTCAACCCGACCCTGGCGGGTTCCGACCCGACCCTATGAGGTCGGGTTTTTTTTTTTGAATTTCGAGTTTCGGGTCGGGTCGAGTAATGTTAGGAAATAATCGGGGTCGGGTCGGGGTCGGGTTTTAGGCATACCCGAACCTACCCGACCCGATATTATTTAAAAAATTATTTTTTAATTAATTTTTTAATTATTTATTTATATATATTTATATAATAATATTTTTATTAATTTTGGGTCG